CCCCCCCCCCCACTTCTCAGGTCATTTCTATCTTAGGGACTTCCCTAGTTCTGGTCCTTTAATGCACCCCACGTCTCCCGTCAGCCAGCTGCAATCAGGCTGCACGCTTCTCCCAGCCTGGTGGCCGAGTGAGGCCCGCCACGCCATCTGCTGCCCATGCTGTGGGCCTCGCTTCTCCCAGGAGGGCATCAGGGGGTGACAGAGTGTCCATCCAGCCAACCTTCCGTACGGAGGTCGGACATCCGTTCAATCTTGGTTGTGAAGCACTGCACAGTAACCCCTCCGCCAAGCTTGTCATCCCTGAGCCCCTCTGTAAACAGTGGGAGCCACCAGGGCCTCCCCACAAGCTACTCTACACCTCCCCTCCTCTGCTAATTCCAGTTCAGTGCCTGCCTCAGGCTTTTGCCCACATGTCCTTTGGGGGAGTGCCTGCCCCAGCCCTCACCCAACACCTGCTGAAATCCCACCTTCAAAGCCTTATTCTTGACTGCCTCCTCCTCCAGGCAGCCACCAGAGTTGAGCTCTCCTCTCTGGAGCTGCACAGCAATGGCAACTCTGATCTGACACACTTCACATAATTACAGTTATGGGCTGTTCTTCTGTTCCCCAAACTGGGGCTCCAGAGGACACATCCCAGGTCTTCCATTTCCCCCACAATGCGCCCAGCCTGGGCCTGAGCGCGGACTTAGGGATCAAGGAGCCACGGAGACAGCCAGCCAGTAGCTATGACAACCCCCGCACCTCCACACAGTTGAAAGGAGGGTAGATGGTGTGCTGGAGACCAACAGGTGGGACACTTGCTTGTCTCAAAAGGCCCATTTCCACCCACCCACCCAGCTCCTCGGCCCTCCCCTCCCCCAACTCCATTTCCGCCGTGAGGAGGGACAGGTGGCAGAGAGTGGGCTTGGCAGGGAGCTCGCCTTCTCCCCTCAGCTATTTCCATAAACCAATTATCGCCGATCATCTCGGGAGATTGAGGCCCTGCCTATCACCACGCCAGCCTGGGCGGCGGGGCGGGGAGCGGGGCGCCGCGTTGCTCTGCGGCGGGCACCGCGACCCTCGCCTTCACCCGGTTGCCATGGGAACGCGCGGCGGGAGCCCAGCCGGCCGGAGCCTGGGTGAGGGGTGTGGGGGCGGCGGGGAGAGCGCATGGCTACACCCATCTCCACCCAGGGAGGGGGCAGGGAGCAGAGCCCGGCCGAGCCTGCGGCCCCGCGTTCCGGGGCGTTCCAGGGCTCCTGGCGGCTGAGCCGCCACCAGCCCCGGGAGTGCTAATGAGATGCAAATGACAGCAGAAGGGAGGGCTTCTGAGAAGGAAGGCCCAGCTGTCAGGAACCTGAAAGAGGCTTTCGCAGCGAGCCCCCAGCCCCAGGCAGGAACCCCAAAGGGACGACCCAGACCCTCAGAAGCCAGAAGCCCTGGGAAGAATCTGATGTGCCCTGGATGTCTGATTCCACATACGCCATTAACAAAGCAGACCACAGGCATGAGAAGCCAGTCCCCCGAAGCGTTCCTTCCTCTCACGATGAATATTGCAATGCTTAAAGTATATAGGGTATATATTTAATATATATTAATAATATTGATCTTCCATAGTCTTTCAAAACACTTTTTCTCATCATTCTCATGCCTGTGTTTCTGGTGCCCTCAGCTTGGTCTCCTGGCTGAGCCTCCTGCTCTCTGCCATCCCTAGGGGTCTCACCTCTGGGGCTTCCTGTCCCTGCCTAGTTCCGCCCTCTCTCTGGGTCTGTTGCATCCCCAGCAGGCCGACCTGCGGGGACAATGGTGGAGTAGGAGTTAAAGCACAGGCCTAAGCGTACCCCGGAGTCATTTACTCATTCAGCCCATTAGTGGGGAGCTGAAGAGAACTCAGGTCTAATGATGGGGACTCCCTAGCTGGGGGCTTGGTCACTTCACTCCTGTGCAGGCTCCAGCCTCAAGCCGATCTAGTATAATAGAGCACACCTCTCGCCGTGATTGACCCAGACCAAGAAGTCCACGTGGCTCATCTTGTGGTTCCAACTCTTTCCATCTGAGCCATTGACCTGCTTCCAGTCTGACCCCTCTACTCCTCTGAAATAGCTTTCTCTAAAATGACGGCTGTGCTTGACCCCATTACGTCCGCTGGGCATCTCATCTTTCCAGATGCTAGCCTGTCCCAGTTCAACCCTTGGTCGTCCTCTTCCTCTGTACTGTCTGCATAACATCCTCATCCTGCTGTCAGTAGTCATATTCCTCCCCC